GAAAAAACACTCATACACATAAAACTTTTAAAAAATAATAAATATTTAGGACAGGGGTTGGCGAGACGGCTCAGTAGTTAAAGGAATTTTCTCTTCTGGATGAGGACCTGAGTTTGGTTCCCAGCACCTATGCTGTGCTACTCCCAACCACCTGTAACTCCAGCTCAAGATGAGATAGATGCCTCTGGCCTCTGCAGGAACCTGCACTTACATACATACACACACACAATTTAAAATGAAATAAATCCTTTTTAAAATAAAAATAAGCATTAGAGAGGTGGTTCAGCTGTTAAGAGCATGTCCAGTTCTTGCAGAGGACCTGGGTTTGGTTCCCAGCACCACATCGGGTAGCTCTGGGGAGTTTGACTCCTCTGACCTCCCCAAGCATACATGTGCACATGCCCACACACAGGCACACACCCATACACATAATGAAGAATAAAATTAACCTCTAAATTTGCCAATGAATGTCTGTACCTATTTTATTTATATATGTCTGTGTATATAAATAAAATAATAAATCTTTTTACTTCTTGAGAGCTGCTTATTCCACCAAATGGGAGTACGGGACACAGCTCCCCTAGTATCACAAGACTCAAATAGGAGAAAACATGGTAAGGAGTACCATAGAATTCCAAAGAAGTACTACTCAGCAGGATACTAGGTATATATAAATCTTCAAATGTATAAACAATAAATATTATACAAAATTAGGCAGGAGAAAAGCGGACTGGGGAAAAAAATTATCTGACTGTGCCTTGAATTGTGGAGCTTTTATGTTTGGTTTGGGGCTACACAGAAGCCCTGCAAGTTATGAACACAGAATGGGCAGAGACATAAAGCACCCACTTGGGGTCTTCTGTCAAACTATAAAGCCTTCTGCGGGGAAGTCCATAACTTCTCTTTATGATGCAACTGCCCTCCGTGCAGACAGGCAAGTACTTATTGAATAAATAAACACACTGAGATGCACTAGGAAGTAAGAAGGACAGGCAGGGACAGGTGACCGAATCCAGTGACAGCGGGATGTCAGTCTCATTCCGGAGCTGTGGAGTGGCATAGCGAGACTGCTTGAGGAAGATCAAACATGCAGGATAGAGCAGTAGACACGGGCAAGCTGCAGGGCAGGATTACAAAGAAGAGCATGCTGCAGTGGTGAGCATGGGGTGACAGGGAAAGGGAGACAGACAGACAGACAGACAGACAGATGGGATGCTAGGAAAGACAGCAGACTGGCATGAGTCCCACACAGCCCAGGACACAGCTCTGTTCTCATGTTTCCTCACCTGCATGACTCTGGGCAAGATGTTTAACTTACTGAGCCACAGTAACCCAATCCGCACACACAAAGGCATTCTCTATTTCGTATGGATGTTACAAAGAGTAAGGAAAACAAGCCAGGAACTGGGGAGCAAGACATACTAGCAGTTGGAGTACACAGAGAGACTATCTCATAACATCAACTCCCCCCTTCAGAGGTGTTAGGACTTAAGCAAAGGATCTGTTACAATGCCTGACACAAACTGTGCTCAGTCAGATGTAGGTGCCTTTGTGGTTACTGTATCCACCCAATGATGACCTGCTCACAACAGGAACTCTAAGGTTGCAATAAATGAAGAGATGAATGGATGCAAAAATTAGCAAGTGAGGGGCTAGAGAGGTGGCCCAGTGGCTAAGAGCGTTTGCTGCTGTTACAGAGGACCGGAGTTGGTTCCCAGCACCCTCCCTGTAAGCATCACAACCACCTGTAACTCCAGCTCCAGATCTGACTCTCCATCTGTCCTCCACAGGTATCCCTACACACATGTACTTACAAACACACACACACACAAATAGTAAATATTTATAAAATAACACACAAAATAAAATTAGCAAATGAATAAATAACCTGGGAGGCTTTTAGGTGTGAATGATAGAACAAGGACTGTGGGCCGGGGGGTGGTTCAGTGGGTGAAGTGCTTGCCGAATAAGCCTGAGAACACGCACCTGCAGTCCCACCCTACGGAGATCTGGGAGGAAGGAATCCTCAAGAGACCCTGTCTCGACAAGGTGTGAGGCCAGGACCGACAGCAGAGGTCTTCCTCTGATCTCCACAAGCACGCTGTGGCAGGTGTGCCCTACATCGGTACATACAACCACACACACACACTGTGTACACCCCAGAGCATTTTGCTTTGTTTTCAATGTTGTTTTTCGAGACAGGGTTTCTCTGTGTAGCTCTGGCTGTCCCGGAACTCACTCTGTACACCAGGCTGGCCTTGAACTCACAGAGATCCACCTGCCTCTGTCTCCTGAGTGTGGGAATTAAAGGCGTGTGCCACCACCGCCCAGCCACAAAAGCATTTTTTAAAAACAGAAAAAAGAAAGGGGATCAAAACAGAATGGGGAAGGCCAGGCGGTGGCGGTGCACATCTTTAATCCCAGCACTCGGGAGGCAGAGGCGGGTGGATCTCTGTGAGTTCAAGGTCAGCCTGGTCTATAGAGTGAATTTCAGGATAGGCTCCAAAAGCTACACAGAGAAACCCTGTGTCGGAAAAATAAAAACAAAAACAAAACAAACAAAAACCAGAATGGGGAAAGGGAAACTGGGCATGTTCTTAGGGCCTTTTATGGAGCAAATCCAACTGTGCATGCTAAAATGTGTTTCATCGCCTGCTTCCAATGTGAACCGGTGAGATGGTGCTTCCCAGTAGTTAAGGACTAAGGAGAGTGGAAAGAGGAGACAGGAGGCAGGATTATAAAAGACAACATGAGGGATCTGTCATGAAACCATGCCCATGTCCTACCTGAGATGCCATGCCACAGCTTTACACAGGGCTGGGGAATGAACTAAGTGTATGTGTACTCTCTATTAGTTTGTGCATGCCTGTGTGCATGCGTGTGTGTTTTGCTGCAAACTTAACTGCCAGCCTGTGTGTTAAGCAAGCACTGGACATCTTTAGCCCTTTTTCTTTCAAACCTTTCATTTCTTTGTGTGCATGCTTACAGGAATACAGAGGCCAGAGGGCAGTATCAGGTTTCTTTCTGTTACTCTCAACCTTAATTTTGAGACAGGGTCTCTCACTGAACCTGAAGTTGCTGATTCAGCTAGACTGGCTGGCCAGCCAGCCCTGAGATCGTCCTGTCTCCACCTTCCCAGGGCTGTGATTACAGGTGCACACTCGTGTGTCTGGCTTTTTCACATGGGTACTGGGATCAAACAGGTTGTCATTCTTTCGTGACAGCAGTTTACCAACAGAACCATCTTCCAGGGTCCATACTTTTCATTGACAGACTGTCAAAAAATTGCCCAGGCAGGCCTTGGGCTCATAATCTTCCTACCTCTATCTCTCAGGTAGCTAGTGTTACAAACCTGAGCCAGTAGGCCAGTTTTTTGATGTTATTCCTTATACCCTTATGTAAATGTACTAGTTACTCCAAAATAAAATATTTCAGGCAGAGCGGAGGATGCAGGTTCACTAGAACACTTGCCTAGCATGTGACAACAGGTCCCATGCCCAATACTGTGAACAAAAGCTTATGATATTACCAACAAAACAAAAAGAGGGGTTGGGGAAATGGCTCAGTAGTTACAGTGCTTGGTATGTAAGCATGAGTAACTGAGCTCAGATCCCCGGAACCCACTAAAAGCTGGGCATGGTTATGCACATCTACAATGCAGTGTTGGTGTTGGATAGATAAGGAGCTTGCTGAATAGCTAGTCTAGCTGAAGATGGAGGGCACTCTGATTAGGGGGATGTTCTAATGTCAACCTCTGGCTTGCACTTACTTACACACACACACACACACACACACACACACACACACACACACACATACACACACCCATGATTAGTCAAATTGGCCTGTATTACCCTATCTGTGAGTGATACTGAGTCTCTGATACCAAGCCTAGTTATATAGGTGCATGTTTTTGCCACAGCATTAATGGGCCCCTGATACTGTCCCATGGGACTCTTCCTATTCCCTTAGTAGAGAGCGACAGTACCTGGATTTCTAATCCAACTTCAATATTAAATACTGTAAGATATCTAGGAAAGTGAGAGAAGGAGGCCTCAGTATCTGACAACTCAGTAAGTCTTGGAGAATTTTTAGAAAATACCAAGGAAACAAGCAGACCTGCAGGGGTAGGGGACGTACGGACGGACGGACAGTGAGGATGAAGCCTCTTCACCCTTTTTTTTGCTCTATCATTTCTACCCTCTTTTTTTTTTTAACCTCAGGATCCCTTAGCACTCTAATTCTCTTTCAGTCTCATGCTGCCAAACTTTGATCCTGGCCTAAGCCCACATTTTGCTCTCACTGATCCTACCCTAGGAGGGGCTGGTTTAAACCTGGGCAGTCTGACAATGGAGCCAAACTCTCTGAGAGCACTAGTGAAGAAGTGAGTGTGCACACGCGCGCGCGCACACACACACACACACACACACACACACACACACACACACGCACAAACGAACGCCTCCAGAGTCCAGCAGGGGGAAGGCCTGCTTGCTCAGAGAGGAGGTCGAACCGAACCCGGCAAGACCGACTGCACGGAGATTTCGGTCCTGGGTCCCACTCCAATACCTGCCTTCCCAATCTGACAGAGATGGGAGTGGACCCTCGATGGACTTTCTTCACCATCCCAGCTCATTATCCCCAGAAATGTCTGCATCCTACTCCCAATCTGAATGGAGCTCTCCCCACCCCCAAAGTTTCCCTCACTCCAACAACTACCCAGGGATTTCCGGGTCCACCTCCAAGAACCAGGAAAGGAAAGTTAGTTACACAGTCCTCCTCACTATCTTGGGAAAGGAACTTGTGCAGGAGTGCATGAGGCCCTCAGCTCCACATTCAACAGCAGCAAATCTCACACCCACAGCGAGTCCCACTTGTCTCAATTCCATCTGATTTAGTTCTTTCCCCTGAATCAACCATTAAAGATCCTGGCACTAGGACCCAGCAGGCAGGGAGCACCGAGACTGCGCTCTACTGAGGTAGATGCACCATTTCCCAACTTCAGCAAAAGCCAAGGCAGCCAACAAAGGCACAGCTGAGGTGGCGGAGCCTCTGCCGCCTGGGCAGCTCATCAGCCACTCCTCAGAAGCAGATCAGACCGTCCTTTCTTTTTTAAAACCCACATCACCACCTGATCATAATGGAGATCAGTCTCCTCAAACCACCATGCAAAGGCGTATCCATAGCAACCTCAAAAGGAAGGACACAGAGATGCTCCAGTGGCTGCAGCAAAAAAAGGTGAGTTTGTTTCTCCTCTATCTATGCCACCTACCTTTCTCCCTCCACTCATCAGGGGTAGGCCCTGCCTGCAGATCTTACCCACCACACCGACTGGGAAAACTCAAAGGTGAGCTAAGAACCAAACTGTAACATAAGGATATAGGTCTGCACAGTCCCAAAGCTGAGTGACAGAATGCATTCTCCTTTTCTGGAGGATGGAAACAAGGTCTCTCTTCTTAGTCACTGTTTCAGGTGACAGTCTCATCCTTCAGTATCTGACAAGCAGCCAATGGGTACTTGTCTTGCTGGGCAATCACTCGAGAATTTGCAAATTCCCCTATGGCAGGCAGCAATGGACCCCACCTCCCTGCCCACTAAAGTGCTCCCTTCTCTAATGCCTTGGGAGGATTCCCATTTCTACAGAGATACTCACCAAACACGAACACTAAGCCTAATAAAAGCCTGCATGCCCTCAAGATCCCTTTCTGTAAAACAGCAATATACTCTGACTGGACTGTTGTGAAAACCACAGAAGGGCTTGGGCAGTTCAAAGCTAGCATAGACCACATACCTCCATGCGCTCGCGAGCACGCGCGCGCACACACACCTGAAGAGTACTTAAAAACTGAGTCTGGGGTAAAGCACTCCATAAATGTCAGCCACTATCCTTACAGTGAAGACGGAAGGCACAGGCCTCCAGCTCAGAGAGGCTCTGCCACACTCCTGGGCTTACCTCAAGGCTCTTTCTCTTCACTCTGTTCAGCTGCTTTGGGCTTCTCTTACCATATCCAAGCATCTATTCCTGATGGAGTTCACACTGATCACCCTAGCCCTCAGCAAACAGCCTTGCTGAGAAGAAAACTGAGCCTATTAGGGAGGAACTCCCCTGCATCCACCACGGTGTCTTCCCCGATCACTCCTCCTTCTCCTCCATTACTCTCCACCGTTTACCTCCTCTTGAGGACTTCATTTCACTGCGCCCTCTACTGGTTCTCAGACATCATCACAAAACCTGCCCCGGCCTCCTCAGTTCTAGGACAAGCTGCTTCTTCTATCCTTGCTGTATCCTCTGCTGGCTGCCACTGTGTCTATTCTTTACTCTGCCAACCTGCTGGCCCCCCTCAGTTCCATCAAGCCCTGCGCTCCATACTGCTCCACTGAAGCTGTTCACATTTTCAAAGTCAAAGAGCCTGGTGACCAGAACATCTCAGCTCCCCAACCTCAGGGGCACTTGTCAAGCTCACCCTGTGTGGCTACCCTGAAGCAAATGAAGATGGATGGGGACCCCCCCACCCCCAGAAATGGTCTCCTTCCTGACTTCCTGAGCAGCCTTCCTCACAGGTACACCAATCCCTGTCTCCTCTGTTAGCTCTCTCTATGTGGCTGGAATAGCCCATCCCCCCACTTCACCAACCACTCTCCTGAAACTCAGAGCCCACATCTCCACCTGGCTGCTAGGCCTCACAGACCACTCAAGTTCAACATGCCCCAAAGGCACCTGCATCTCCCTCCTCAGAGACCCCTCTTCCATATGTCCTCTTTGATCCTGGCACCACAGTCTACTCAAGTTAGATGAGTCTCCTTCCACAACCCCCTCTTATTTGAAGCAATTAGTCATGACTCAGGTTAATTCTGTTGCTGCAGCCTCTCAGATTCATGCGCTCCTCCCCATCCTCCTTGGTCTAATTCCAGCCTAGCCATAAAACACTTGTTACTACAAGAATCTCCCCTTTACATCATCTTTTTTTTTTTTTTTTTTTGGTTTTTCGAGACAGGGTTTCTCTGTGTAGCTTTGCGCCTTTCCTGGGACTCACTTGGTAGCCCAGGCTGGCCTCGAACTCACAGAGATCCGCCTGGCTCTGCCTCCCGAGTGCTGGGATTAAAGGCGTGCGCCACCACCGCCCGGCCCCTTTACATCATCTTAAGCGTCTCCCAATAGCCTGAACCCATATTCTAACCCTTCAGTCTCTCCATCATCGGCTTCCCAAAGTACCACTCCTTGTCTAAAATCTCCCAGTGGGGGCCAGTGAGATGGTTCAGTAGGTAAATCTGCCACCAAATCTGACAACCTGAGTTTGATTCCCAGGACCCATATGATAGAAAGAACCAGCTCCTGCAAGTTTTCCCTCTGACCTATGTTCATATGCACATGTGTGTGGGGACACGGACACACACACACACACACACACACACACACACACACACAAAATGTTTTTCTTAACTGTGAACAGCAATAACCTCCCCTTTGATCCCAAAGTTCTCACATTCCGGCTGCTTGGATCTACTTCCCCTCATGCCCTGCAAATATAAGAGTATCACCAGGATTGCACTCTTCATCCATCACTACTTAGCTCAACAGTCACCTCTTTCCTGAAATTCCCCAACTTCTCCCTGTACGGTCTGTTATTTCTCTGCCCTAATGTAGACACCTTGGACAAAGTTTAGTTACAGTGCTACACTTTCCGAAAATTCTGCCTACCAACCTTCCTAGGACCGAGAGCTTTACCCTCAGTGTCTAAACACTGAGCACAGTGCTTTGCCCAGAGCAGCACATGATATTCCAAAGTTACTGTCCTAGCCTGGCTCTAGATATATGACCAGGCGGTTTCAGAGAAGAATGGCCCACCCTTGCAGCCCACATGAGTGGTTAAGAGGGCTTGCTGGGCAACCACGAGGCCCAAGTGCAGACTCTAGAACCCACCAACAAGCTCCAGCACCGTGAGGGGTGAAGAAAAGAACTGCTGGGGTTTGCTGGCTGCTTCAAAAGGAGGAAGGCATCCCAGCACTTGGAAGGCTGAGGAAAGCATATCTCTAGGAGTTTGAGGCCAGCTGGTCTATATATCAAGATTCAGGTTAGCCAAAGCCACATGTGAAACTGTCTCAAACAAACAAAACAGAAAAGTCAGAGTATTAGAGGATGCCACTGTCTTTGACCTCCAGGCACAAGCACAGGGACACACACCCTGACCCACATGTATGCATATATCATACCACACTCACACATATACACACACACCACAGGGTGGGGAAATATGTATGTATGTGTTACATACATATATATACATACACACAGACAGACCAGACAGACACAGCAGTGCATGAAGCTCTTTCAGATAGGAGCCTAAGCCCAGGTCTAGAAGTTGATGCTAACACACAATCTCAAGCTCATATTCTTCCATGGTAAAGGAACCACAGACCACAGACAGGCTCTAAGTAAAATGCAGACCTTCTGAGAAGGAATGTTCTAAAGGCTCTGAGGGCACCAAGGCCCCACTCTCTGCTGCTGTGAGGCCCCTACGAGATAAGAAGGGACAGGGAAAGGTCAGGATACACATAAACTTGACCTATCAGCCAACCTCAACTAGTACTCCTGAACGTCAGAAAGAAAACATCAATAAGTCAAAGCCAGAATCTCCAAGATGGCAAGGACCCTAAGATGCATTTGCATCAGGCAGTCTCTTACCTTGTCCTGGTCCATGGACACACACTCTGAGTAGCAAACATCACAGAATTGATAGTCAGACCACCAGTTTCCAGAACAAATCAGTCATGGATGACAGGAGACACTGAGAATCCAGTTTCTGTCCCCTCCCTAACTAACTAGCCTCTAAAGCAGGCCATATCAACTACAGTCCTAACCTCCACCTCCAGGTGGCCACTGCTACCGGTGGAGATGGCCCAGGGGGCAGCAGCTGATGTTCTTACGAGTCTCCAGCCCTCTGACTCTTCCCTTCCAGTGTCCTCTCGGTGCACTCCTGTCCAGGCAGGCTTAACTGAGCACCTGCACCCTCCCTTTCTCCCCCGTCAGCACTCTGCTCTGCAGGGGGCAGCTTTGGAGATTAAAGCAAACCATTTCTCCTTTCTGGTGCTTCATCTGCTGCTCTGCCAACCTTACAGGAAATTACATCAAATGAGATCATGCCCATCAGTTCTGTAACCTAAGTTAAACATGAAAGCAAGGCATCACTGTTGTATCATCGGTCCAAGTCCTCTATTACTATGCAAACATCTCTGCCTCTCTCCTCCCCGACTTCCAACCACTTCTTACAGCACAGTGAGATAACTGCGTTCTCCAACGCCGCCCTGCTCACTCATCTGCCATCCTTCCACGCCGTCTCCCTTCTTGCTATCTAATGATCCTGGTTGGGGTGTGCACAGTCTCACCTGTGCACCGCTGCAGCTACTTCCAGAGCTTTCTGTACTCCTGCACACCACACCCATCCTTCAAAGTCCAGCTAAAGTCCATCAGTGCAAAACAAAGACAAATTAAAGAATGAGTTTTCTTCAATGTGGTGAAAGAATTAAGGACCAATTCAATTTGAAGAAAAAAGCCAGAATATCTGTCATCAGATGCTGTAAGAGTCAATAGTTTCCCTCAGCTTCTGTCAGTTTTTTGAAGGGGGGCCTCACTCTGTAGCTGAGGCTAGCTTGGAATTCACTGTTTGTCCAGACTGTCCCCAAACTCAAAGCAATCTTCCTGTATTGTCCTCCCAGGGTCTGGGACTACACACATGTATCATACGCACAGCTGAAAAGCCAACTTTCTATTTTATTTTTGTTTAAGTAGCTGGGGCTGTCCTAGAGCTCAATATGTAGAGTAGGCTGGCCTCAAACTCACAGAGATCTGCCTGCTTCAATCCCAGCACTCGGAAGGCAGAGTTCTACAAAGTGAGTTCCAGGATAGCCAGGAGTACACAGAGAAACCCTGTTCTGAAAAACAAAAATTACAACATAAAAGTTGAGTACCACCACACCTGGTAAGAGTCAACTTTTTAAAAAGAATTTGCTTTTCTTTGGTTTCACTCTAATAGACAGCCTAGACAAGAAGGATGGATGTTGCAGAGGTTTATTTCACCAACCTCCAGAACATCTTTAGTGTGCTATCCCATGAATAAGATGGAATGTTTTATGCCTGTAATCCTAGCAACTGGGAAGTGTAGGTAGCAAGGTCAACCTTGACTACACAGGGAGTTTGAGGCCTGCCTGTACCACATGAGACCCTATTAAAAAAAGAAAAAAAAAAGGCGGGGGAGGGGTTGAAAGGGAGAGGAAGAGGCATGGAGAGAGACTTTATATCTAGTTATTTCCCCATTGTTAGAAATGTTCAAACCAAATTGCAAAATTTGCCACACTGACGAGGATATCATACATGGAAGTCAACTGCAACAGAGGTAACTGGGTTAGAACCCAGCGCTGAGATGAGAGGAGGCTGAGAGCTCTCCTAGTCCTGACGCCTGTTTTAAGGTCTGGACAAAGTGACTGAGCCATGGCAGCAGATTGTTCTACACAGCAGGCAGCCAAATGTGTTGGTCAACTCAGTGGTACGCTGCTGCATCTGCTCCCAGACCAGCAGCACTAACATCACCTGGGAGCCTGTGTTACAAACGCAGACTGGATTAGATTTATGTTTTCACCAGACTCTATCAAACTAAACACACACTCCCATTAGAGTAAAGACCATTGGCACACACTGCCCCTTTACAATGGTGAGTTTCTATTTCTGGAAATTCATTTCCCAAACTGCACCAGATGTTAAGCAGAGGCACGACCAAGAACAAAACAGGCAAATAAATAAACAAAACCCAGTATTTCCCAGTCTAGTTTGGGAAATCTCCACATACACCCTAATTGGAGACTTGATAAATACCACGAGCACACTAAAAGTTGTGAAATAGTCTGTAGTTGAGAAAACCTGAAGCATAAACTTTCAAACATATATGACTACAAAGCACCTTACAAAATAAAAGTTATGGGGGCTGAAGAGATGGCTCAGCAGTTAAGAGCACCTACTGCTCTTACAGAGGACCGGAGTTCAGTTACCAGGACCTATAGCCGGCCGTAAGTCCAGCTGCAGGGTTCTGACATCTCTGGCCTCTGTGGAAATCTACACTCATACACTTTCTTTTTTCTTTAGGTTATCCTCATCTCTTTAAATACAGTGCAGTTCAGGCTTTGGCAGCACAGTAGGCTAAAAATGCCATCTCTAGACTCTCGGTACCTTATGTACACTAGGGTACCAAACGGCCAACAGGCGCTTGCTGCTCTCCGCGCTGCTATAAATGAGAGTTCTGTTTTAAAGATGTGCCTCCTTCAAAACAGCAGTTTTGCATCTGTGTGCTTTAGTCGTTGTCCAGGCCATAGTGAGGAGGGCTGTATAACCAAGACGACTTCGCAAGGATCATGGTGCCATCCTAGTCGGACCCCAGGACAGGGAGTAGTCACACAGCAAATGTATTTCCAGACCCCCACGTTTGAACCTTCTAGGATTATTTTTTTGTCTTCAGTTAACACAAATTCCCAACCACGTGTCCACAGGAAACCTGGGCTCGGTACCGATCAGGGCAAGCAGGGGCCCCTCGCAGAGCTGGAGGCTAGTGGGCAAGCCTGGGAGAAGCTCTCGCTGGGGCCCCAGGCCCGCGCCCTCCCGTCGGGGTGCCGCCCACCCTCCGACCCCACCTGGCCCGAGCCCCGGGCCCCCTCCAGCTCTGCGCGAGCTCCGGGGCAGCTCAGCAGACAGTTGGTGGGGTCGCCACCCGCGTACCTGCTGTCAGGGCTCCGCGCCCGGCTCGGCCCCGCCGCCGCCCGCCGCCCGGGACTTGCTGCCCCGCCCCGCCCCGCCCCGCGGGCTGCCCCGCGCGCAGCCCGACCCCGTAGCGACCGCTGGAGCCCTCAGGTCCCAGGAAACTCTAGAGTTCTGGGTACAGTCTCCTCATTCTTGCAGCCCCGCCCTGGCTGACAAAATCACGCAGAGCGCGGCAGAGAAGCCATCGATAAGGCACTGAGCTGGACACCTGCGGCAGGGTGCACGCGTGCGCACGCGCACTACGCCAGGGTAGTCGATTAGGACCACGGTGGAGAGGCTCGGCGGGGTGAGCGCCCTCTGCTGGCGGAGGACCCGGGGGACACATTGGGAGTTTTTATATTGTTTTGGTCTCTAAACGCGATGTATATGGAGTCGGGGAAGGGAGAGATAAACTAAGATGTCCACACCTTTTCTAGTCCCTCTTCAGCTGTTCCCCAGGCCCCCAGAACTGAACTGGACCAAGAGGTCTGCAGCATTGAGGGGCATTTCTTCAATGGAGGTGTTGTTGAAGACTCCTGTCTTCAATGTCTATTTGCTAGCATTTTGGAGTGTTAATTGGCTTGTTAAAACTAGCGATAACCCAGTACTAGGAAGGGTGAGGCAGGAGGACCGCTCCAAGTTCTAGAGGAGCCTGGGTTACCAAGGAGGAAGGATTGAACAAGTGTACAATGGTACCTACAGGCAGGCATGAAGGAAGGATTGAGCAAATGTGCAAAGTTACCTGCAGGAAAGGGAGTTAGGATTTCACAGCCGGGTTCCAGTTCTACCTTCAGTTCATTAGCTGTGTGAAATCCTGCGCTGGTTACTTAACCTCTCATTGCCGCTTCCTTATTTGTGGAATGAGACTGTCTGTGACAGGATCTAGAAAGGTTGGACATCTCTACTAGCATTCCTTTTCACTCCCATTTCATCTTTTAAATATTTCCAGTTATTCTCAACATACAACGCACTCCTACCATTCAAAAACCAAACTCCAGCTGGTAAAATCACTCAGTAGGTAAAGGAACTTTGCACAGAAGCCTGACAAGGTGCGTTTGATTCCTGGAACCCACAGGAAAGTAGAAGGAGAGAACTGACCAAACACACACACATTGACTCACACCCACACACATACATACACCATACACACATATACACACCACACACACACACATACACACACACACTACTACTACTACTACTACTACTACTACTACTACTACTACTACTACTACATAAAATACAGTAATCAAATTAATACTTTAAAGTATTCACTGAGCCAGGCACAGTGGCACATGCCTTTAATCCCAGCACTCTGAAGGCAGGGGCAAGCTGTTCTCTATAAGTACAAGGCCAATCTGTTGTTTTAGCAAGTTCCAGGCCAGCCAGGAATTCATAGTAAGACCCTGTCTCAATTAAAAACAAAACAAAACAAAACAAAACAAAAACCTCAGGAGGCAGAAGCAGTTGGATCTCTGAATTTGGGGCAGCCTGGTCTATAGAGCAAGTTCCAGGACAGCCAGGGCTACACAGAGAAACCCTCTCTTTAAAAAACCCCCAAAAAGAAGAAGAAACCCCATGTCACCCCCCAAAAAAAGTATGCACTGAGAAGCCTCCCTTTAATCCTTGTTGCAATCTAGCCCACCCTCCTTGCCTGCTAAAGGTAATTAGCTATTAGTTTCTCTGTCATCTTCTAGATGTTTTATTTAAATACAATCACATATGAACTTAAGAGTTTTACTCCTTCTGTTGCTTATGCAAAGGGTAATAGAATATATACATCTACAGTCTGCCTTTTTCCTTTATAGAATAGCATCTTCTGTAAGATTCATTCATTTTACGTGTATGAGTGTCTACCCACCAGGCACATGCACATGGGGAGGTCAGAAGAGGGTGTCTGATCCGCTGGAGCTGGAGTTAGAGATGGTTGTGAGCTGAGCTGCCTTGTGGGTGCTGGGAATTGAACCCAGTTCCTCTCTGGAAGAGCAACCAATAAGTACTCTTCACTAACACTGACCCATCAAATTCAAACGAAGGGAGGGAATCTTTCCTAGTTGTACAAGCCAGTGTCTGTAATCTCAGCACTTGGGAGGTTGAGAGATCAGGAGTTCAAGGCCATCCATGGCCTATAGCCAGACTAGGCTGCAAGAGACCCTGTCTTGAACCTGTGTCCTCGTTTGTGGATATGCATAATTTCCTCACTGGATTCCTCTAGTTACTTTGTTTCTAGTCCTGTGCATATGTTTGTGTGTGCACGTGTGCATTTGGAGGTCAGAGGTTGACCTGGGTGTCCTCTTCAATCACTCCCTACCTTATCGTTTTTGAGACAAGGGCTCTCACTGAACCTGGAACTCCTCAATTCTGTCTGGACTGGCTGACCAGCAAGCCCTAGGGACCCTCCCATCTACTTCCCCAGTGTGGGGTTATAGGCGCTGGGACCTGTATTCAGGTCCTCAATGCTCTGCTCTGCTGTGCACAGCAGGTGCTTTACTGGCTGAGCATCTTCAGGCTCTGTTTCTAATCTTTTGCTGTTGCGCGTTGTGCAAAGCATAGGGTACATAGGACATTTCACATGAGCAGATTTATGTGTATGTTGTAATTGTTTAAGATTTATTGGATATGTATGATCGTTTTACCTTTAAGTCTGTATGGTACAATGTTTTCTTGGCACACGCAAAGTTCTAGGTTCAATTCCCACCCAGAACACAGGAGCAAAAAACAAACAGAAAAGAATCGATTTTTCAATCCAAGATGAACTGACTAAGCTCCAGGAGTCAGGAAAGCAGGTTGAATTCATGTATCGAATCACTCCATGAATAATCTCAGTTGTGCCCTTCCCTGTTGAAAGGGCGAAGTTCTCCCTGGGAGCCAGAGTGTCGTCCCCCCACTCCCCTCCAGTCCTCACTTCTTCTCCTTTAAGGTGTGTTTGAGGGGGCGGGGATGTGTCTAGAATACTTCCGCCGCCAGGGAACAGCCTGATCCCTAAGGCCTGTCTCCTACCGCTAATAATGACAACTGTGCCCCCTGGAGTCCAGACAGAGAGTAGACAGCCTTGGAAGAAATGGCACCATCTCACCAGTCAGTTCCTGCTGCAAGGCATATTTATTTTGGGCAAGGCTCAGTTCCCAGTGTGGAGGCTCAGGACCCAGAGTAGGGCACAGGCTTGTCTGGGAGCAGGCAGGCTTTGGGGGTTTCCTTCTTTATTAGCTGGGTCACAATCACCTGGGGCCTGGGCACCCCTGTCTGGATGGGTTGCTGCTCAGCCGCATGGGAAGTGTCTCCCTCACACTCCTCCAGGGTGGCAGCAGGGCTGAGCAGCTCCTGGGTGCCCCGGTTCCACATACTCACACCAGGAGTCAGCTTCATGGTGTCTGAAAGAACCAAGGGCTTCCACAGAACCTGGGACGTGGCCTCGAGGACCTGGGGCGCCGCTAGGGGCCATCCCGAGTCCTCCGAGGCGTCATCGGCAGCAGGTTCCTGGCCCTGTGGAGGCACGCGGGTCCGACCGGCCCACAGCTCGCCCAGCTGCTCTGCCTCCCGCTCCCAGCCGCTCGGCCACTTAGCCCGAGGCCAAAGTTTGGGACTGGGGCTGCGGGCGACTTCGGGGGGGATTGGGTTTCTGGCGAGGAACCGGAACCCGGGGCTGAGGAATGGCATCTTTGAGCCGAAGCTTGGTGAGGATTGGGCCAAGTTCAAAGTGGGATCGGGGCCCAAAGCACTGAATGGAGCATAACACTGGAGAGGGAACCTTGAGGTAGAGACGGGGGGTTTAGAGTGGGCGCGTGAGCCGAGGGCTTGGGGCCCGCTAGCTGAGGTTCGGGCCCCAGCTTGGCTCTTTTCACCCCGCGGGCGCCCGCGGTATATTTCCAAAGGGCGCGCTTCGGAGTCTGGGTTCAGGACCTCGGCGGTTGGGCGCACCCAGTGGCGGGGCAGCCGAGCGGGATCCAGGCGCACCACCGGCGGCTTGCGGCTTTGCGCAGGCTGCGGCGACCGGCAGGGCTCTTCTGGGGTGGGCACACTGAGGAGGGGCACAGAGCCGTCCGAGGAGGCGCCGGGCATGCCTCTGCTCTCGAGGTTCAGCCGGTCTCCTGCCGCGTCTGGTTGAGGCACGCAGAGGTAAAGATCCTCGAGGGACAGGTGGGAGCCGAGGGATGGTCCCTTCTCCTCAGAGGCCTGGAGACTGACAACTTGGGGCAGACCCAGGGAAGGCTGGGGACTGGGGACCCGCACCACTTCCAAGGAAGTCAGTAAGGACTCCTTCGAAGGCAAGATGTGACTAGGCCATAAAGCCTCTTTTGAAGACGTGGCCAAGATGTGGCTTTGCTCCTGGTCATCGGGTTCTTCCAAGACATCCCCGGGCTCAACTTCCTGAAACACCTCCAAGTTGGGCGTGGGTCTTGGGGTGACTCTTGGCTCGGCAGAAGGCTCTGGAGATGCTGTTGGCTCCTGGGAGTCTCTGTCCGACCACGGTGAACCTAAAAGGAACTGGTCCGGGTTCCCAGGTTCCTGGGGAAACACATAAGGGTAATGAGATGTTGGAAGTGGGGGAAGGACCTCACTTCGTGGTCCTGAGCGGCTCCGGAGGAGGCTTCTGTCGGAAGGAGGCTCGGGGCTTGGGCTTACTTCGCCTTGGAAGTGCTCCTCTGCACCCCCGGGTGTCGGCGTGTGCAGTACAGGCACAGAGCCCTGGGCCCAGGCATCCGTGGTGCATGCCAGGGGCTCCTGGTCCTCGCCCCACGTGGGGTCCTCGGCCACTGCAGATTCTCCCTCATCCCGGGCCAGGAAGCGCCACTCAGTGATCTGCAGCATGGCCTCTCGGGCCTGGCTAATGGTGAATGGGACGCACTGTGGAAGTGAGGGAGGGTCTCAGCCTCACCAGGAGAGGCGGGAGAGGTAGAAGATGGGATCTGGAAGACCCAGATCTAGGCCCACCTGCTGAGTCAGGTAGACTTTGAAGGCACACTCCATGACTCGAGCAAGAAGGTCGGCCAAGATGTCACCCACTACGTCCTCGCCCTCCTCCAGGGACAAAAACGCAATCCATTCTGCCTCATTGAGCCGCCCAGGCACGATGTCCACCTGCGGCACTGGCTGGGTGGGCGGCCGGGCTTTTTCAGCCTTGGATCGGGTCACCCCACGGTCTCGCGCCTGCCTCTGTGGGAACGAAACGGGCACTCAGGACAGGAAACGGAGGGGATGGGACTGATGGGCTAGGTGCTAGAAAGACGCTTTCTCAAGATGTTTACTAAGGAAGAAAAGGGACCAGGACAAGGCGCCTCACTCAATCTGCGATGCAGCGGAGGGACACTCTGAAGGTATGCGGCTCAATGTAATACTCATAACAGCTCATTAAACAAGGAAACTGACACTTGTCAGAAGCTAGCCCTCACCTGTTTGGATGCAAACTGAACCCCAGACCTAATGATGCTCAACTCACAGCTCTTGCTGTTTGCGTTACTGCAGTGTCCAAGTTCTTGAGAGTTCAGAGAATTGGAATCTGAGTCATTGAGGTCACTAGAACTTAGTCTCTTCTGTTTGAGGTTTGAACAGTCTTGTTATGTAACCCTGGCTGGCCTGGAACTTGCAGCAATTCTCCTGCCTTTGCCTCTCAAATCCTAGGATTACAGGAATGTAAGACCATCTGTTTGTCCGTTGCCTTTTTGTGTATGTGTGTACTGTAGTTCTGGGGATTGAACCTGGAGGCATTGTACATACTCTATCACTGAGCTAAACCCCTAGGCCTCTTTACTTTTTTGTTTGAAACAGATTCTTTTTATGTAACCCTGTCTGTCCTGGAACTCTCCTTATATGTAGACCAGACTGGCCTCAAACTCACAGAAATCCACCTGCCTCTGCCTCCTGAGTGCTGGGATTAAAGGTGTGTCCTGTTACCCCCAACTCTCTTTTTACTTTTTATTTTGAGATCTCACTAAGATCCCAAGGCAAGTCTTGAACTCACTCTGTATTCCAAGCAGGCCTCGAAAGTAACTTGTGGTCCTCTTTTTCTTTTTTTAATTGAAAACTGATACAATACATTCTGATCACAGTTTCCCTTCTCTCTTCTTCCAGATCCTCCCCACCTCCCCCTCATCCAACTCCAGGCCTTCGTCTGTCTTTCTCTTTAAAAAACAGGCAAATTAGAAAGGCAAGTAAATTTGAATAATAATAAAAATAAAATAGTGAAAACACACACACACACATACACCAAAACAAAAACCATAAAAACACAAAATCAGAAACCATAATATACAAGCAAAAGACCAGAAAGATTTTTTTTAAATGTCCAAATAAAACAATCTACAAAAGCACCATTGAGATAGTTTTTTCTTGGCCTTCTGGGACATGGGGCCTACCTTTAAATGTAGTTTATATACCCAGTGAGACTCCATTGGGTAAAACTGATTTTTCCTTTGCAAGTGATTTCCAACTGGAAATAGCTTCCAGGGTGGGGATAGGAGCTTGTGTCCACTCCCCCCTCACAGCACTAGGACCCCATCTGGCTCAAACTTGTGCAGGCCCCGTTCATGCTACTACACTCTTTGTGACTTTAGGTGCATATCAGTCCTGTTAGGCTCGGAAGACACTGTTTCCTCAATGCCATCCATCCCCTCTGACTTGTGGTCCTTTTGCCTCCCAAATAGAGTAGCTAGGATTACAGACCTGTATTCCTAGATCATATTTAACCATTATTATTATTATTATTATTAT